ATTGAAAAAAATTAAAATTCAGTATCACATCTTATTTCCTATTATGTTTGTAATGTCTACCTTTATAATTTCTGGATTAAAAAAAATCCATGTTATCATATAAAATTTCCCTATCTACAATTATTAATACATTAGTAAATTACCTGTTTGACAAAATATTAATTATTGTAATACATTTCAATAAGATTCAGARTATTTATGTATTTAATATGTCAAACAAATAGTCAAGATACATGTAATCAAAAGATGAACCTCTCTCAATATTTTTCTTTTTTCTTTGATAGATATGCATTTAATTTACCTATTTTACATTACAAAGGAAAACAATAGGTAGTTTTAAATAAAATAATTAACTCACGAATTTTAAAAATGTATATGCTTTTTGATAGAATTTGATTACATAAAATAATTTGATGTTGTTGTAACATAAAGAAAAAAAATATAAATATTTTGAGAATAATTTTTGGTGTTTGGTGGCTGGTGCTGAAAGTTATTCATGAAGCATAAAATTGAACTAGAAATTCTTTATTTCTTTATGTCATAAAACAGTGAACAACAACTCAAATTAAATAATATCAGTGATTAGATTTAGTTTATATCAATTATGTTAATTATAGTGGTTAAATTAGTTATTAACTAAAATATTATACTTTTAATTATCCACTTACAATTTTAACTACTTATAACAAATTTAGAACAATAATTAGAACGCCTTATTAATAGTTTAATAATCAACAAAACGTATTAACTTTAGGTATTGCTTTAATTTTGATTAACTTAGAACTAAACATGTAAGTATTCATAATTACATTTTAAAATCTTTCTTTCCAGACAAGAGATACACAATTAAAAGCTTTATAGTACATGATTTTCCAAAAAGTGAAACTAATACTTTGCAAACACAACCCTGTATAGTTTTTTATCACTATAACAGGYGTAAATTTACATAATGATAATGCATAACTAATTTTAGTGCCTATAATAAAATTTGAAAATAAGTGTTGGCTTTTAATAAAACTTT